AAGACGTTGTTTGCCGTGTTGTGGCGCTACAGAAATTGTTGCCATTATTATTGCGCCAAATGATTGCAAAATAAGGCAGACTGAGGACAAGAGCATAACGGCGTTACTCTTTGTACCTTTCCAAGCGTCGTAAATATAAGCCTGCAATATTGTGAATGTTTTAAAAGCGTTTTTAGATGCACAGTGCTGCGAAGTGGCCTGGCAATTTCCATCCCCTCCACAAGTGGACAATGTATGTTATCCGCAGCCTTCAAATGCACGACCCTCAATCCTTATTTTACGAGCGATTACACAGGGAAAGGAACACACAACACCCATCGCAACAAATGCACACGGCAACTGGTAATCACATCACTTAGCGTTGACTTCGAATAATTGATCTGTTCTCCGTGAGTGCTGTTGGACAATCAGCAAGAGCAGGAGGTGCAACGTGCATTCACGTGACCATTAAGAGACATAATGAGCGATGCCGCTTCCACAAAACCCACACATTGTGTGAGCGCACGACGCTTGAGTCACGGCACTATGACCATGACACCACCACGTGACTTACTGTGGTGAAGCAAGGAACACAGTGCCAGTGAGGGGGGGCATGAGGGTTGTCACATTAGTTTCCACAGTAAAATAATATATTACATTTCACCATAACATCACAATATTAGTTTCCGTTAACGTTGTTTTTGGCTTTCACATTTTACATTTCTTGCGTTTGTGTTCTGATGTTACGGCACTTCAAGTACGAATTAAGTTTGCTCAAAAGGTTACTCAAACAAATAAAATACGTGTAAATAATAATAAATAAAGATACGTGTATCTTTATATAAAGATACACGTATTTATATAAAGATACAAATAAAGATACAATAACAAATAAAGATACGTGTATCTTTATATAAAGATATGTGTATCTTTATTTGTTATTGTATTTTTATTTGTTTGACTTCTAATTCGCTATTTAATCTTTTGCCACAAGCTTCAACTACACAAATAAGATGTTTGTTGGTCTTCCCCTTGAGCCTAATGCAGGACACCGTTAGGCGCATCCGTTACCAGTGCAGCGTAATAGCTGCGCCGTGCTGTGTGTGCGCCACCTGCGCTTGGTCCAGACACAAGGAGGCCTCTGGCTTCGCGTGTGATTTGGACCGGTGGCCTGAGCGATTTGGAAACGAGGTTGAAATTTTGGGCAAAAAAACCTTGCATTAATCGATATTTTTTTCAAGACCATTTCTCCGAACAATTATACGTACGGAAGCTACGCTATGAAAATTAACATTGTACCAATTCAAAAACTTAATTTCACATGCCGCTGAGCAGCCTTAATTTAATTCGGAAGGGTGAGCACTTTGCTGGAAATTCGTCCGTAGTTTTTCGTCACCATTTCCAAAGTCCTGCACGTCCTCTCATCGACTTGCCCGCACTCAGCCAGTTGATGGCTCAACTCCCACAGCTGCTCGGCGATTTCTGTGAGAAATTACCTCAACAAATTTGAAACCCTCTGTGCAATCATTCTCAGCAGGAGGCCATTTTGGTACGTTCTTAAAAGAGCCCACAAACATTTTAAAATAATATGAACTTCCACGGGCTCTCAGGGTCTGAAAGGTCATCAGGGATTGGAAGGAATTCCTGGGGGAACTCATAAATGCCCCCACCCGCTATACCTAGACATTACTAACCGAGACTGACAAATAAATGAATATTCTGTTTCAGCCAGCAAGTTCATTTAAAATAATTATCGCAATCCGATATATGTATTTGTTTTGTATATTCACAGACCTATTTCACAATGGCATGTGTGTGTTTTCTTCCCACGGTACCATTTGGGAGATCCGGAGCGTGACAGACGGACAGTTATATAGACATTTACTACAGACTGCCCACCATGACTGGTCTATTTCAAAATGACTCAGTTGGGTTGATATTTTCACTCCTACCACGGCGTTCAGGGTCGTTGTGGCATATTTTCCACCCCTGAAGGTCATGAATTAATGAATATTCCATACACCCTAAAAGCAACACTGGCAAGGAGCGTAAATCATCATGCAAACTCCGGTCATCCTTGTAGCGGCTTTTGGCTAACCATCAAACAAAGACGGCCGCTTGTGTTGTGGCCGAAACGTCGTGATTTTTGTTGTTTTATTTTTTACCTACGTGACTTTACCGAATAGAACCAAAGACTATGGATCCTTGCAGTCACGAAAGCTTTAAATCTAGAATTGATAACCTCTACGGGGAGGGCTTTCACCTATCTGTTAGAGCTTTTAACAGACAACGGGACAAGAAGTCACAGCTCATCGAGACGCTGACCTTCCTCAAAAGATGCCGCGATCACAAGGTAATACCCATCGCTTTCACACTCACTTCTGCTGCTGTATCTTCCTTTGTCAAGGCACCTTGTTTCCTCGCACACATCTTAAAGGTCCGCGGTCTGAGCGTGGCTGTGTTTCACTCTAGCGCTGTCCTCTGAGAAAGCCTGATCCCTTCACCTGATGAAGGCCGCTTGTGTTGTGGCCGAAACTTCGTGATTTTTGTTGTTTTATCTACGTGACTTTACTACGTGACTTTACCGAATAGAACTAAAGAGTATGGTCACTGCATCGCTTGCTTTTAGATGCGCTTCTGTGACTGTCTGGAACGCTCTTCTTTCCGATATTAGGAAACCACTTTTAAATCAAGATTGAAAACTAAAGTGCTTTTTGTGTTTAGTTTGTTGTCCTTCCCCTGCACCACCTATTAGCATGGTTGGCTACTTACGATGCGAAATAAGTTCAACATACGTACAACAAACAAAAACCTCACTACCGCTGCCTCTCCAGTCTTCCCCTTTACAGATTTCCGGGCCATGCCATGTAATTTGCGATTGTTCAAGTGAAACGAGTGCGCGGGGAGCAGTGCGATGTAAGAGGCAGAGATAAGTGGTGGACCTGCATTGCAATGAGTGGGGGAGTGAGTGGGTGAGTGGGTGGGTGAGTGTGTTGCTTTGACCTGCAGTGTGGTGGTTGAACACAGCGTGGCTGAGGCTTGAGGTGAAACAGTCAGTCTGATAGTCTGAGTCCTCAACATGGGTGGAGGAATCAATGGGTGAAGTTCACAGGAACAGTGACCATGGTAGTAGTAGTATCAATAATAGAGTGATAAGGAGGTGACTGACTGGCAGTGAGCGAGGGATTGGAGTGAATCCGTGAGTGCTGGATCATCAATCATCTTGACTGCTTTACATTGAATTCCATCAATTGAACGTAAATTACTGTTTCCTGCTTTGGTTATAATTCCTATGACAAGGAAAGTCGCTGATGAGTTTCCCATGAGGTTGTAGGCATACCTGCGAGTCTCATGGAAATTATATCTCAATACAAACCACTTTGATTAAACACCTTAAAACATGTACAAACTATTTTTGGCAGAATTAACACATGTTCACCTATAACGGAGTTCTAGTATAACACTACTCTAGTCACTACGTTTTAAATATATGTTATTGTAGTGGCTATTAAATTATCCAGTGTAGACCTGGTGAGCTTTGTTCTCAAGATCTCTCCTGGTCACTCTCACAAACCCCAAGCCACATTGTGCTTGATTGTAAATGCCCGTTGACCATTATGGGAGAAGTCACTGGCATGCGGATCCGTCACAAAGCATAGACCTCATGGCACTCTGCAGATGAGTTCGGGGCCCTTATTCTCTCGTGGAACAATGAATAGAGCTTCACGACCCTGGGAAGTCCTACGGAGCCCCAATTCAGAGCCCCTTCCGTATATGGTGATGTATCAGATAATTATATTCTATCCTTGCGCATGATAGGGATACAGGAGAGGGATGCAGGAGAGAGAATTCGTGTAGGTTTGATATTCTTCCTCCATTGAAGGAGCACAGATTACACCAGTTCACTATATCGTCTACAATTTAAATCAGACAACTGAAACTGCTGATGATGACTATTGGCCCGAATCTCGCTTTGCCTCCACGCCATCTTTGTGCCTAAAAATGTACGGCTACTGCTGCTGCAGCTGTGGCTACGAAGGCACCGAGTTCCGGTCCATGGTCAGAGAGTCAGTCCCGAGTCACGGTGGATATTACACATTCAATTTATGACTGCGAACAGTTTATCCACAGTCCAAGCACCCGTGTCTCCTACGAGATTGTTGTTATTTAATTGACCGCATGGGGATGCTAGGTTGGGTCAGCCGTAGCCAGGATTTGAATTTTGAATCTTCCCGCTGTGAGCGGAGCGCGTTGCCACGACAACATCGCTCCGGCGGACTGGGTTGCCTGGGGAAACGGAGGCACGCACGGGGACCAGGCAATGCGACATCGCGACGCGCAGCGGCCGACCGTGGACCTACACCGAGTGGAAAAAAGACAAACGTCGAAAGCCATTAAGTTTTAGATAAAGGATGTCTCCACGTTTTGGTAATGCAAAGTAACCAACCATTGAACAAGCCGATGCCATGGTATGATGAGCCGTGGCAATTGGCACTCGAATACGGGCAACCGGGAGGAGGAGAGCCGTGTGAAACGTAGCTCGGGCTCCTACAGCCTGCGGGGCAGAGGGGAGGGAGTGCGGCGCGGCCCTGGAAGCCGCCGCAAGGTGCACGGGGTGGGCGGGGCCAGGTTCAGGCCGCGGGACGCATCCTGGGGCAGGCACAAGGGGCCCTGGGGCTGCTCACGACAGGAGTTGTCGAGGCTGCGGTGCAGCAATCGAGCGCGCAGGTGGTGGAAGTGTTGAATCGGGGTGCATGGGCCGGAGCGGTCCAGGCAGCGGCCTGTTAAGAGGGGGGGGGGGGGGGAGGCAGGGGATGGCCATAGGACGGAAAACTTCTTACACCAGGACGCGTGTCAACCGCGCCGCGCTACTGACTCAAGAAGGAAAAGCAGAGGCAGCGTCCGGCAGATCCCCAGAAGGGTTGTGAAGGCAAACGGCGACGCCCAGGAGAAGCCCGAGGGAGGTCGGTGGTGTCAGGGGAGCCGCCGATGTGGTCACTTGAGGGGGGGGGGGGGGGGGGGGGTGCGGGGACGGTGGCTCAGGGCAGGCAGGACACGGCGTGCAGCGAGCTGGCAGCCTGCGCCTGCGAGGGCGGCAGGCATGCGAACGGGGGAGTCGGGGTGTCTCCGCCACGCAGCGAGTCGTCGCGATCTTCGCGGAATGTGGCTGTGCTCATCACCGACTCGTCCACGTTGAAGTCGGGCGCCGGTGGGCGTGCGTGCGGCACGAGCCCCCGGCAGCCGCCCGGGGGCAGCCCCCCCGCGAACCACAGGTAGATCCAGGGGTTGGTGCAGCTGTTGAGGTTTCCCAGCAGCATGATGATGACGAACGTGGGGCCTGGCCACGAGACGAATACAGAGAGCAGCAGAGCGGACGAGGTGTTTCCGTCTTCGATTTGCACCGAAACCGTGTTGAGACTCATTCAGCCACCACTGCCACTCGCGTGTATGACCTCGGTATTAAACATAATTAAATAACACGGGGAATCATTGTCAGGGTCAAAAGATTCCCCCCCACCATGATAAAAAGGATTTTTTTTTACTCAGCAATTTAGTATATAAATAGGTAGGAAGACATTTAATCCATAAACTACGGGGCTCCTTTCTGGATTCACGTTCCATGCAGAACTTGGAATGCGTTGCATACGAATCCGCTTTCAGGCTACCCTGGTAAGTGGATCTTGATGAGCTAATAATTTTTGTATGTTGAAAAGCGAAGAATGTGTTTTTATATTCTTGGTTCTTTCAATATATATAAAAATATTGTTTTATATTTTTATTATAAAAATATTGTTTTATATTTTTTTATAATTTTATTGTTTCCCTTCTACGTGACTTTACCGAAAGAACCAAGAATATTAATCCCTGCAGTCACGAAAGCTTTAAATTAAAAAATGTGTTTTTAGTGCATGAAACCGAAGCACCGCATGCCACAGTGGCTCAGTGAATGGTTCTAGAGGGAGAAAGGGAAAGCAAAAATACCACCTTAAGCAATGAAAATGGGAGGCCTCTATTAGGAATCAAGGCAGTGATGTATACTGTAGATGGTGATTCTGCTGGTACGGCACCAGAGTGAGCTGATGAATAGAGCAATAAGCCACGTGTCATGGGCCATTCACGTGACACTCTCTGTGCATCCGTGATATTCCCCAGCGCACGCCTGCAGCCGGGCGATGGGGCAGCTCGGGACTGGGCCATGCTGGCAAAGCCTCTGCCTGAGGCTAGGCCCTGCCCTGGCTGAAAAAGTATATACAATAATTAATAATTTAGGGCCCTGTATCAATCCACTGCTGGATGAAGGTCTCTCTATGATGTGTCAGTCGTGAGGTTTGTTTTGATTATACTTCACCACGCTGGTCGGTGTGGGTTGGTTAAGCCGGGGTGGTGGTTGTAGAACTGCTTCAGATATCGCTCACCACTGACGGTAGCTGTGGCCGTGGATTGAACTCGGGTCACCGGTGTGCTAAAGTAGTGAACTATTTGTCTTTTGTCAACGTGGCACATTTTTTACTGATTAGCCGTGTCGGGTGGTGGAGGGTTGCTACACATTTATAAATAACGCGATCAAACCCAAAAACCTTTATTATGAGTATCTACCACACAGTCATTTAGCTTAGCCCAGCGTGGGAGCCAAACAGAATTCTGGGTGCCAACCCTAGAAATCACAATCACTGGGAAGCCGGCGGCTGGGGGATACGGAGATCTGGGAGCTGGTGCTGTGAGGAATTTGAGACTTATCATTGCGGAGCGTGGCGGCTACCGACCGTGAGAACTGGGGTTAACGTGATCACTAAAGCACCGCATCACTGATGACAACAACAGGCGGTTGTGCAGCATCTACTTGGGTTCATCCTCAATCCTGTGATGTGAAACTTTTGAGTCGAACTCTATTTTAGTTACCTGCCTCCTACTAAGTTGCTGCGAGTCATCCATGTTTGTGCAATTACATCAACTGTAATTGCTATGCAGTAATGTCAGCCTTTAAGTGAAAGTAAACTGAGCACAGATGAAAATCACGAGCAATCATTGACTGCACGAGGGAAAGAGCCAGGCTGCCCACGCGTGTAATTGCAAGTTATTGGCCCTCGGTGTTTGAAAGGTTTTAATCGAGCACACACCAGCGATGCTTTCACGCTCCTGGGGACAGGTGCTTGTCTCAAATAACCGTGCAGCCTCAGAATCGTCTCTTGACACATTCACATGGGCCGTTTCTGAACCAGTGAAGAAATTTAACAGGAATTGAAAGATTAATGAACTGTATCAAAATGGTTTTTATAAACACAGAATTCCAAAAGCACTTATATCTGCCAGGATGTGCGCTCAGTAGCCGTGTGCAATTATGTCAACGTTTGCATAAGAGATGCGTACACTCTCATGCAGTGCATCAGCAGGTTTGTAAAAACACAGGCTCAAATTATCGTGCTCTACCAGCGACACCATCAACACCACACACGCTCATAAGGGTAGAGCAGTGGCAAGATGTCTCTCATTTTCCTGGTACGTGGGTTCGATTCTGAACCCTGACGATGCCTTTTGTATACAGTATTTGAAGTCTGTCTGTTCTCTGCCTCACAGTGGTCGCATTGATTTTTCTCCGGATCCTCCAGTTTCCCCGCCACGTTAAGAATCAACATGCGCTTATATTATTTGGCTGCTGCTATACGTTCACACATGTGATATAAGCCACTTCGGGATTCGTTTTATAATCCGTGGAAAAATGTTGCACCGATGTGGTGTCCCACGCGGTACGGGAGGAAGGAGCCGATGATTTGCAGTGAAAGCGTGAAGCTTGACAAGTGGATCAATTAATCTGCGATAAATGAGCGAATTATGAGGTTGTGAGTTTTTCGAAGGCAAAAATGGTGCAAATCCGCCGTAAGGGTCTTTATTAATGGATGCTTTGCTTTTTTTTTACTTGATATTCAAGTCTATTTTTTTTCCTTGGCCAGGTGCGCGCAAAACCATTGTGAGACTTCGTAAAAAATCTGAAACCTCGTGAGAATTGTTTTTGACCGACTCGGACGTGGCGTCCGTCGCCTCACCTTCCTTGGGAGCCTTGCTGTCCCAGGCCGACCAGAGCTGCACGGTGAACCACGGTGCCCAGCACGCCACGTACACCAGCACGATCACCAGCGTCATGCGCACCGTGTTGATCATGGCCCTGGGGAGCGTGGCACACAGCAACAACAACCACGAGGTTCATCCCTCCTTTTCCCGTGCGTACCTACGTGTGTGGGTAGACAAAGTACTTTAAATTATCATAGCTTTTTTAATGTATAAACACATTTAATTGTACTCAAGTCAAAGCCTGAATCGATGATCATTAAAGTCACTAATATTGGGGAGACCCCTAGTGGATTAAATTGCCATTAGCAATAATGCGACTAATGAAAACGTGCTATTAAATAACATCCTATAATCTGATTTAACTCGACTGAGCTTTGTAAAACAAAAACGTTAACTTGGCAGGGAACCTTTGGCGTTGCTTGCAGAATACTGATTGCGCTGGGAGCGGCAGATGTGACTGCGTCGAGTGCCGTGCGTGACAATAGCGCTTCATGTCACCCACTCGACGGCCACAATGCCCACTTGATGTGTTTTGCTCGAGCGACCGAGTGTGTCCTGCGCGGCCGATTCTCAATACGCAGCTTGTTCGCCGCCCTGGCTGCCCGCTGCGTTTTACATCCAGCTTCCAGCTAAACCGCTCAGCAGCGCACAGATAATTGACTGCCAGTGTGCATGGGATTTTTATGGATTTTGATTTCATCACTCGCACATGACAATTGTTTCGATTTAAAGGTTTCGTGACTGCAAGGATTCATCTTCTTTGGTTCTTTCGGTAAAGTCACGTAGAATGAGAATAAAATAATTCTCATTCTACGTGACTTTACTGAAAGAACCAAAGACGATGACAATTGTTGTTTCTGATTTTTACTGCTCTTAAATTTAAGAGGTCCTCCTACAATCTGCAGTTATGTTCGATCGACATTTGGTCACCGGGTTGATGACGGCATGGGTCGTGATTCTCACTTAAAAGAGTGGGCCACATGAAGGCTGCCATCCTCCACTCCAAGAAGGATGGTCCCGACATAGCCACACTAGACCTGTTAATGTCCAGCTAAACGCTGCGATGCAGTGCATCCCTGGAACCCTCAAGGCAACCCCAAATCCCTGGCTCCCCGTGCTGTTTCTCATCGCGCTCCCCATCCCTCCGGGAAGTCCAGTGAATCGTGGGCAACGCGTGCGTCTCCCCGTCCACCAGGAGGAGGCTCTCAGTCACGGTCGTGGCCCTCGCGCTCAACCTTCAACAATGTGACTACGGCACAATCGCTGGTGGCGAAATGCGCGGTCGCCAAAATGCATATCGAACGAGCGTTCCAGTAAAGGCGGTTGTTCGCCGGAGTTTACAAAAAACTTCGAGGCTGGTTTTACTTCATCCTCCTCCGGCCCATGGGGAGCTCCCGTGGTGCTGGTCGAGAAAGGCGATGGCAGCACGCTTTGCCGTGTTGATTACCGTGGGCTCAACAAAGTCACTCATCATGGGGCCTCCTTTGCCAGTACCAAAATATGAGAATAGGTTTTCCCCTTTTTTCTGGAAACAAAACAGGTGTTAAGATGTTAAAACACCAAATTGAAATATTTTACAAGGAATCATGTCTGCATTAACCACAATACTTGTGGTCAGAATGCAAACAAAATACGCACTCTGATAATATATGCATTGTCTTTGAAACTGATTGGTCCACACCAGAGACAGCTTTCTTTTGAGCCTAGTCTCAAAACGGTGTTAGACCAGAGGACGCCAAAAGGTGTACAGCACAAAGACAATGCACTATCAGAGTAATGGTTAATGCAGACATAATTCCTTGTAAAAAAATTCAGTTTGGTGTTTTAACATCTTAACACCTGTTTTGTTGCCAGAACAAAGGGAAAACCTATTCTAAAAGTCACTCTCGCCAACGCATTATCCATTGCCTCGCAATCGGCAAACCAGTTGATGCGCTGTCAATGTATTTTCTGTACGTTCAAGTTAAGTGCTTTAGATGTGAGGACTTAAACACAACACTGCTTGTCATACTGGCTGGGTTATTTGAATTTATGTTTTTCCAACATTTGAGCAATTGACGGAACCGGTGTTGTTGATCGGTGTGCGTTGGGGCATCGTGCCGTGTATCCACAGTAGCTGGACGATATTGTATTAGGTAGCATATTGGAATAGCAGTTTTTCTGCGCTTTAGGGAGGGTAATTTGAAGCTCCAACCAGAGAAGTGCGGTACTCTGTGCACTTTGACAGTGAAACGCATTGCTACAGACGCAGATAACATTCGGTGTGTTAAGGAACGGCGAACTCGCAGGCACGAACGCAACTGAAGTACGACAATTCTTAAGCTTGGCTTCCTGTTATCGAACATTTGTACCCGCGTTCGCTACCATTGCCCAAACCATTGCGTGCCCCGACGGCCAAACAAAGCGTTGTTGCATTTGGATCAGAGAAGTGAGAAGCATTCCAAACGTGTTGTCGACGAATCTGTTGAGATAAAAAAAAAATATAATGAATTACCGGTTGTTTAAAGTGCGTGCGTCGGTGTACATCGCGGCTATGCGGATGATACCTGGAGATCCCCGTGACGCTGCTGGCCCGCGACGGCATGAGCTGCCCCCCGGCACGGCGCTCGTCCCCGCCGATCGTCTCCTCCTCGTCGGGGCCCTGGTGCGTCTTCACGTAGAGGTTGAGGCGGATGATGCGGCAGATCTGAGCCTGGCAAATGACCACTGCGAGCGTGGGCAGCACGAACACGGCCAGCGTCACCCACGTCACGTACGCCTTGGCGCCCCAGTGTGCCGCGAACGTCGCGGTGCAATCGAAGATGCCCTTTTCGTACTCGCTCAGCGAGAAGATGAATATCTGCGGCGTGCTGAGGGCCAGCGAGGTGGCCCACGCGGCGCACACGAGGCCGTTCCAGCGCGAGCGCTTCTTCTTGAAGGTGACCATCGGGTAGCAGACCGCCTGGAAGCGGTCCACGGTCATCGCCACGATCATGTACGCGGACGCAAACATCCCGACCACCTGCAGGTACTTCACCACCTTACACACGCCGTTGGATGCCTGGCAAGAGGGGAAGGGGGGAGGAGGGCCATCGTGGATTTGCGGGGAGCGGTAGCGTGCGCTGCGAATCCAGTGACCCGAGTTCGATTCCTGCTCACGGTCGACACCAGTGACGATTTATTAAATGAACCGGTCATGGGTCTCCACTAGGTCAACTCGGCCTCAAACCTGGTGCAGTGTGCAAACATCGCTACTAGGGAGACAAAGGCAGTCACACCGCACATCTTGTACCGAGCCAGCCTTCGAATCTGCTTGCTAACAGTATTGTCCACTGCACAACTGATCTGCCCTGGATATTGTACCCAGCCAGCCTTGCGTGACTCAGGAGGCGCCAGGTTGTTTTCCCACTGTAGAAGCTGAGCCGTACCATTGACGTCACACTTGTAGATGACACGGTGATTGTGTCCTCACAACCGCAATCTGGTTGCGGCTCGGCACGGCAAATAGCGACCGGAAAACCACCCATACAGTGATAAAGCTGCGCCGGCTCGGCTGTGATGCACCGGCGGAAGAGGGCTGCGTGCACGTCCCCACTGCCGCCACCTACCTGGAAGGCGTCGGTGACGTCCCACGCGAGCTGCGGCAGCACCTGGAAGAAGGCGACGACGAGGTCGGCGACGCTGAGGTGCACGAGGAAGGCGTGCATGCGCGACGCGTGCTTGCGCCTCCTCCACAACGACACGAGCAGCGTGGCGTTGCCGCTCGTCGCCAGCACAAAGATCAGGCCGAGCACGGTGACCTCGGCTCGAGCCAGCGCCTCGTCACGCTCGGGGCGCCTCGCCAGCGGCGGGTGCGGCGCTGCGGTGCCGTTGGGAGCGGCGGAGGGCCAGGCACCGCTCGCCAGCGTGCTGGCGCTCTCGTCCGAGGAGTTCCCAACGAATGGATCGTCACTCATCGTTCCCGTGCCGCTCTCCCAACCGGCCCCCTTGCGTGGCGTGACTCGGGATGTTTGGCTCTACTCTGCCACGTCTTTTATTGAAAACGCGACGATTTCACTGGGATCCGACTGGGTTACAAGAGACTTGATTGATTAACATAACAGACTGCAATTGTGCCAAAATATACTTTTAGGAACTTGAAGTTTTAAAAGTGATGTATTATCAATTATATTATGTAGGCATTATGATTCGTACGATAGGCTATCTTTAAGTACCCCCACAACTTCTCATGAGGTTGAATCTGATGTGCAGCCAGAGCAGCCTGAGGGAAGACACAGTACCTATCATTTCGTTAGCAGTTTAATATGTAAAGCAAGTATACATAAAATATGTAATTTCCCAATGTTATTCCAATTGTGTTTTGAGATGAGACGAAGAATCCGTTTGTAACTCTCGATGAACGCTTCATCACCCCGTGACGGAGAACGGCCTGCAGAGGGTGATGTCGTCAAACTAATTATATTCTCCAGCGGAACATCTTCTATCCACACACTCGGGGATGCACTTTCCCTCAATCCCTGTTTACAAGAGGATCGTCCATTGCATGGCAGTCAAACCGATGTTTTAAAATCTTCAGAGCTGGTATGCAGCCGAATTAATTGACAAACGAAATTGCATGTGATGTAGCACTGCCTTCGCTGAGACCACCACCTTACTACGCTTGAGAACTCGGTTCTTCACCCTGGAGATGATCCCACAATAATCCCACAATCTCAGCGGTGCAGGATCAGCATCTTTGATATCGGAACCTCTCGCGCACCTCAACGTGGTTTAAATATATATAATTCCTGTTAAAAGTTTATATTTATTGGTATAAAGTAGGTGCTACTTCTGTCACTAGAATTCCTAAACAGATTCACTACCTTAAATTAGGTTGTATCTTCTCACATTAAGGGATTTTTAAAATAAATATTTGCATCAATGTGTCTTAGTCGGTCAGATTGATCTGATGTCATGGTATCCTCACACATGTTAGGTAGTGACTCCGTTTTACTCTCTTTTGCTGACCTCGTATGTCGAAGCAAATTTGACACTCCTATTGCCACGTGTTCGAAGAATGGCCGGGATAGATACAGCCCTCTATCAATCCACTGGTGGATAAATCCATCAATCCAATATTTATAATGCACCACATTCAGCAAAAGACTGAGATGGAACTGAGAAAATAAACGAAATTAATCAGAAGAGAAAATATGTGTTAAGAAGGTCTAAATGAGAATAATGCTGGTGCTGAACTCATGACCTGCAAACTGTTAGCCGCGCACACTCTCCACTCGACTACAGAGAAGCAACAAGGCCACGCGGGTTCCCACGTGCGAGGCTGAGCTCCCATTGCCATGAAGACTCGGGGAATTACGTCACCAGGTTCGGTTGTGACCCCGGGTCCCCCTGAGCATCATGGCAACACGTGAACAACCCTCTTGAAACGCGCAACAAAGAAACGCTCTCCTCACCCTCAGTCAGAGAGACCTCTGGTGTGGGCATGGGAGAGACGAGTCCTTCGCCACCACGAGCCCATCACTACGCCGAGTCCCAAGTATCACATTATTAAGCTATCACTCTTGTGATTTGCTGTACTTCACTTTCAGCAGTGGCAGCCGGTATATGGGGCGCCAGTCTCTACATTTAAAATGTATTATTTTTATGCTTAAAACAAAGATTTATGAAGGCAATGGCTGTTCAACGACATGTTCAATGTCCACTCAGGAGACCAGGTGAGCAAAGCACGGACACTCCGTATGACCCCCCACACAGGGTGCGGTATGAGCACCGGACTTGTGTGCGTTAGCAACGTGCCTCCACATCCATTCATGCCGATGGTCTCTGGTGTTGGTGGCGCAGGTAGCGACACCCCAAAACACGGAGGACATCCTCGCCGCTGATTTCTAAAAGGCTTTAGATTTTTTCCATCACTGGTGCCTCAACTTTACACACATCAGCAAAACAACCATTACACATCAACTGACCAAAACATCCAGTGCAAGACACTCCAGATATTAATGTTGACAACGTAAATTAATGTTTCACCGAGGCAATTACAGGCAGCAATAGAGGCAAGTCGACGACAGTGAACGATAGCCCTACCTGCTCGAAGACACAGAGGGCCCACACAGCACGGCCGGCTCGCGCGCTGAAGCAGAAATGTATTTTCCACGAGCGCTTCAAACTCTGTCCGTGTGTCGCCTCTTGGCATTATGCAGAAGACGGTCGTTTGAGAGAAGTCACTGCATGGGGGACTGCTGCTGGCCCTGATGCTGCTGACAACAGTGGTGGAGGAAGGTGGTAGTGGTGGAATAGTGAATACCTACGTTCTGTCTCTAATTGTGTCTCCGTGTCCTGCGAGCGCGCGCTTTTATCCGTGGTGAAGTGGGTGGAGGGGTGAGGCAGGAGCGAACCGGGAGGCAGAGGACGAGAGGGGTGGGTGAGGAGGGATAGGAGCGCCTCTCTTGTTCCTTTCACGGGGAGAATTGCGCTTCGTCGAGAGAGGCGAGCTCGGTGCACGGTGAATCTAAATTGAGGATGATACCCTTTCCAATGTTTGCTTGTACTGAAACCAACGCTTAACGTCCCATAACGGCTGTGGGATCACTGGGTTGTGTAAAAAAATATATTTTGAAATGTTTACGTGAGAGATATACTGTATTTACATTGTCTGCAAATCTCTTGTTATTTATAGTTTCCACAACTATGCAAATTATTATTTTGAGATGTTAGGTTGATGATGGGGGTGAGCCTGCTGTCATGGTAGATGGCACACAATTCTTATTAGCGTCATTGCGGAAAATCACAAAACAAAGATGCAGACAATGCACCTCCTTCATGTATCCGTCTCCCACACGCAAACATTTCAGTTATTCTTTTCCACATCTCATTCGTCACACGACCAGGTTGAAATGAGGCCTGGTTAAACCTCTCAAATTTGATAGCTTTTGCGTGACCATATCAGACGTTAATATTCAATCAGGGAACCCTTGTATCCACAGTAAATGGGGAAATTGATATTTAAGTAAAGTGTACGCATATACACTGTGATTATCGTGGCCACTTGGTGCTGTTGTAGAGCACTTGACCCACAATCGAAGAGATTGCACTGTACTCTTTGCTTCTATTGGGTAAAGTCACGTAGGTAAAAAATAAAATAACAAAAATCACGACGTTTCGGCCACAACACAAGCGGCCTTCATCAGGTGAAGGGACGAGACTGTCTGGAGGACAGCGCTGGAGTGAAAAAAGCCACGCTCAGATCACGACCTTTAAGCTGTGTGAGAAGAAACAAAGCGCCTTGACAAAGGAATTAGCAAATAATTTAGCATTGAAATGGCTGAGTGATTAGCTTGTGACTGGTCACAGAAATGGCTATGTTAAAGTTAAAGCATACATATCCGCAAAGACACCCCTTAACTTTAACATAGCCATTTCTGTGACCAGTCACAAGCTAATCACTCAGCCATTTCAATGCTAAATTATATGCTAATTCCTTTGTCAAGGCGCTTTGTTTCTTCTCACACAGCTTAAAGGTCGTGATCTGAGCGTGGATTTTTTTCACTCCAGCGCTGTCCTCCAGACAGTCTCGTCCCTTCACCTGATGAAGGCCGCTTGTGTTGTGGCCGAAACGTCGTGATTTTTGTTATTTTATTTTTTACCTACGTGACTTTACCCAATAGAACCAAAGAGTATGGATCCTTGCAGTCACAAAAGCTTTAAATCTAGAATAGATTGCACTGTGGTGGCGAGATGTTATCTCCCTCGCCTGGCATGCAGGAGGTTGTGGGTTCAATCCTGGACCCTGACGTTGCCTGTTGTATATTTTGAGTTTCCATGTCTCTCTTTCCATAGTAGTCCTTTTTCTGCGGGTCCTCCGGTTTTGCCCTCCACATTTAGAAACACGCATTTAGATTATATGCATGGCATGGCTGCGACTATACATTCCCACATATGACGAGCTATCATGTGTGGCCAGGTCACCTCTAAAAATATCTCATAGCCTTTACCTGATAGAGAGAACACAAATTTATCTCTAGTTTGTATTCCAGTCGGGGATTGACTCCATCAACCCTTCAGGGTTGATAAAATTAGTACCACTTTGTGAAAAGTCAATATTGTTTTTCCTGCGGGATAGTTGCTGCCAAGTGAATGTGGACTTTGCAATAATGTGGACATGAATGTGTATACACTTATACGAGTGTATTCACAAGTGTAGTGACTGACTCAGAGACACTAAGAGTAGGAGGCACTCTATTTATTAACAGCCTTCACAGTCCACACAGAGCAACTACAGCCCCCAGTCAGGACAGCTGGCAGACTGCCTGGCCAGATGAAGACGCAGACGAAGACTCCAGCAGCACGACAGGATCCCACTCCAGGCAACAGCCCCAAGCCTTCGCTCGGGGTACTCTTTTATCCTCCCAGCGTGGCCTCGCTCCGCCCCCAGCCACGCCCCCCTTCTAGAACCTACCAGCGGGTTCCCGGGCTGCCCTCACGTGCCCCCTCTCTAACCTCTCCCCTACATCCCTCTCTCTGGTTTATCACATGACCTGCTATCAGGGCTGCTGCAACTGCAGATCTCTGCCATCAACCAGCGCCATGCTACGTAGTGACCAATTCTACGTCACTACACAAGTATACAGCTCCTCGTACACCTGTGTGATCTCACAGGAGCTGGGACAGGGAACAGCGCTGCGCGTGTCAGTGTGATGGAAGGACGCACGTATGAACAGCTTCGGAGTCTACGGAATATTTTCTTTGTAACCTAATGCCACTATGTGAATAAGCCGTGCGTGCACCGTCCATGTGAAGCGATATTGCATTGTGTTATTGCATTTGTTTAGCATGAGAGCTATCTTAACAGATCACTTGAATAATGCATTACGCTTCCGATTATTAATTTGATTCGTCTGTTAATCACAGACGGGGGATTTACTTCAATATTTTCTCAATGATCACACGAGGCTTCAAAGCAGTGGGGTGCCGGCGTAGGCCCCGCCCCACCAAATGTCCCCATTTGGTCGACCCCAGTTCACTCTCCTTCGCGCCTTAGCACCGAGGTGGTGCCCCCCACACACCGCCTCGACTGGGATGGTGCCCCCCACACACCGCCTCCACCGCCACCCTCACCCCAGAGGAGCTGTAGCCGGGCCTCGTTCCAAAGTGTGTCTTAGCTACGTCATTTTATTTTATTGGCAAATGATGCACCACCAGCCTGTAATGTTCCCACCAAAGTCAGAATTCTGCAATGGCGTGAAAGCAAAGCCTCCATGCAGTAGCTCTTCCATCTCAAACGAAGACCCACAACCGAAACATTTTAAGATGGGTTAAAAACACGCGGTTTTGTTTATTGCTTTGGAGGACAAAAAATGCATCGTAGTGTTGCAATTGTAATACGGATTAAACACTGTGAGCAAAACGCGATACCTGTGCTGTTATTTCACTTCCAGATAACAAAAACACAACGCGTTGCTTTGGTACACCACGCGCAATGACTAGGAACGCTTGTATTCCGGTTCCATTAAAACATAGGGCAAGACCCGTTTTGATTCTCTTATCCAACAGGATTGCACTTAAGGAAAAAGTCACAGTAAAGCACACAATAGAACTTGACGCAGTACGAGTGGTCCGCGTTGCGCCCGTGGAGCGCACAAAAGATCACCCACTCTCGCTGGAAGAGAGAGCAGTGGTGATGCATGTGCACTCGAGAATAAATGTATTATGGCCAAAGGGCACCATGGAAACACACGTGTGTGTGTGTGTGAACAGTCTGAGCTCGACAAGAGCCAGGGTTTCGTTTCGTGGCAGTAAACTAATATGGGAAGCAAATAAGGTTGCCACCTGTCTGAGGTTGACATGCTACAATTCGGGAATTGGCACCATCTATGTTCGGGTGTTAGCAACTGATTTGTACTGGGATCTGGTGGTGGCATTGTGTTGAATTGTACTTCAGTATACGGCACGGTATTGACAGGCCTAGGCTGACGGAGAGATATGTCTGGGATTGGTCTGATGGAAAAAGTGGCAGCTCACACAACCATTGGCTCTACTTGACTGCTGCATACTCACCCCGGGTCTGCCGTGCGGGCCCTCCACAGTCGTCAGGAGCAATAAGTTGTACGAGAACTGAGGAGGTGCTCATGCAGGCATGGGCACAGCGCTATACAGTAAGGCCACACAATAGGGAAGTTAATGTCATTTATCAATAACCTGTATTTTATATACATTGGGTTTTCTATAACCTTTTGAGATTAAAACTCTCTCTTAATTTCCCCCCCCCCCCCCTTCCCATTCCCCCGTCCGTACCCCCTCCCCTGGCTTAGGACCCCATTTCACCTTGATACACTCCCCTTACTGGGGGGCAGAAGGAGCCCATTTCACCTTGACACACTCCCTCACTGGGGAGCAGAAGGAGCCCATGTCACCTTGACACACTCCCCTCACTGGGAAGCAGAAGGAGCCCATGTCACCTTGATACACTCCCCTTACTGGGGGGCAGAAGGAGCCCATTTCACCTTGACACACTCCCCTCACTGGGGAGCAGAAGGAGCCCATGTCACCTTGACACACTCCCCTCACTGGGGAGCAGAAGGAGCCCATGTCACCTTGATACACTCCCCTTACTGGGGAGCGATCACAACCCAGAGGGCGCGAGCTCCAAATGTCCCTGCTCTCTCCCTATCGATACACCTGTCGTGATTCTTACAATGGGTTCAATAAATCTCTGATTCAACAAATTCAATCCCACGGGAAATGTATATTTGCTCCAGATGTTGGCGCTGCTTTAAGGTTGCACGCTGGAACGCGTCACGAGTGCCCCCGTAGCCTGGAACTCCGTTTTCCCCAGGCCGCCCGTGCTGTCCACTCCTTGCCCCACGTGATGGCGATGCTCGGGGCTTTCCTGTTCACCATTGACTATGACGGTCTCTCGTTTTCCCACCGAGTTTAATGCGCCGACTGTTTCTGCAGTGCCTTCAGGTGGTTGCATTTGCATGGTATATCAATCTTAATTGTCTTGTACTTGAAAACCGTGAAGGGCACATGTAATACATACAGTTATAGTTTAAATAAAGACTTACGCAATATTAACTCCTCATTCTACATCTCACTTATCTGCAAGGATCGGGTAAGGGATCTAGGACTCGTCCAGTTATTTAACTAATTTCACACTTGTACGTAATTTACGTAGCTAAAAAACCCGAAACCCGTGCTCGCGAGTGATGTTGTAATTCGAGGTCCCCGCATGGCGGCGGCGGCCTCCCAGGGACCGTGGGGCCACCTGTGCCGCGCCCTGTGGGCTTTGCTCGTGACCACCGTGCTCACGTGGGCAACGGCGTCGGTGCTACGGGAGCCACGCGACGTCTTAACACGACCGTCTCTTCACACGATTCATGAGGGAGAGACCTGGTCACGACGTGCAGGGTCATTCTCTGGTGAATCCACCACTGATGATCCAGGCCTGAGGTTGTTGGGACTACAAGTAGGAGCAGAATAATCCCCACAGAGATGGTGCTTGTACGTTAAGTGCAATCCGCCACTCTCAAGCTCAAGGAGGAATCTGCTAATTTAAGCAGTGCAAATAATATATCGCCTCCAGAACCATCCATGATCAACAATAATCAGGTATCTGGAACCCATACACTCTATCGGAATCATCCACCCTATAACTCATGAGTTCCACACCGCGTGGGGTCACAGCCCGTTACACACCGCGTGGGGTCACAGCCCGTTACACACCGCGTGGGGTCACGGCCCGTTACACACCGCGCGGGGTCACGGCCCGTTACACACCGTGTGGGGTCACGGCCCGTTACACACCGCGTGGGGTCACGCCCCGTTACACACCGTGTGGGGTCACGCTCCGTTACACACCGCGTGGGGTCACAGCCCGTTACACACCGCGTGGGGTCACAGCCCGTTACACACCGCGTGGGGTCACGGCCCGTTACACACCGCGTGGGGTCACAGCCCGTTACACACCGCGTGGGGTCACGCTCCGTTACACACCGCGTGGGGTCACGCTCCGTTACACACCGCGTGGGGTCACGGCCCGTTACACACCGTGTGGGGTCACAGCCCGTTACACACCGTGCGGGGTCACGCTCCGTTACACACCGTGTGGGGTCACGGCCCGTTACACACCGCGTGGGGTCACGCTCCGTTACACACCGTGTGGGGTCACGGCCCGTTACACACCGCGTGGGGTCACAGCCCGTTACACACCGCGTGGGGTCACAGCCCGTTACACACCGCGTGGGGTCACGGCCCGTTACACACCGCGTGGGGTCACAGCCCGTTACACACCGTGTGGGATCACAGCCCGTTACACACCGCGTGGGGTCACGCCCCGTTACACACCGCGTGGGGTCACGGCCCGTTACACACCGTGCGGGGTCACGCCCCGTTACACACCGCGTGGGGTCACGCCCCGTTACACACCGCGTGGGGTCACGCTCCGTTACACACCGCGTGGGGTCACGGCCCGTTACACACCGCGTGGGGTCACGCCCCGTTACACACCGCGCGGGGTCACGGCCCATTACACACCGCGTGGGGTCACGGCCCATGTGATGGACACAGGAAACACGAGTGGAGGTAGAGTGGTGTTTCAGATACAGAACCCTGTTTCGTTAATAACCTCTTCCACATTAACGACATATACTTCAAACATTCATTAACACGTCGTTTTGCTTGTTAAAAAAGTGTAAATTTGTCTTTTTATCCCATTTCAAAGCCTTTACAATACGCGGCGAGCGTAATAGCGGTCGCGTTCTGTAGAAGGAAGTTGTGTACCACAGAGCCAAGCAGGCAGCGCCCTTGGCTGCTGAATGAGACCTCGAGCACAGCGAGCTCCTGGTGGGTGGCTCTCAAAGTGCAGTCACCTCTAGTCCCATCGTGGGCCCTTTGCTCTTAACGAGCTCTATGCCGCGTGGCCTCTTCAACAGAGGGCGCTTCTCCCTCGAGCGGTGACCTTCCTGCCGGGCGAACTCGCCAAGCGGTCTACTCGCTCGCTGGGTGTCGGCTCCCTGCCACGCTCGTTGCTGCAGGAGGTTCTCCCGCACGGCCTTCAGCTGCATGCCTGCATCATTTTATCAAAGTACTCTATTTAAATAAGAGTACTGTTGAAATAAATATTTTTTCAATAAACTTATACACTTCATAAGAGGTTTTTTTGGGGGGACTTGAATACCTACTATAATCACCCAGGAATGTCTGTCCTTAACGCTCTTGACTCCACATCGACCAGCCTCCCTCATTAATATTCATGAGCAGGTGACGTCCTCCAAATGGACCCCCCCCCCATTCATAATAATTAGTGGCTGACGTCACTCGACATGGGGGGGGGGGGTGAGGCGCCTCCTCCCCCCTCCTCAGCGTCAACTGACAACCCTCACTACAAAGGCAGAACCCTCACGTCACGTGATCTCCGTCAAGCTATTGAGACATCGAAGTAAAAAGGACGTCGTGATGAACAAGGGATTATAACCTGTAAATGAAATAGCTCTGTGTCACCGCGCCCTTACAATTTGCACACGAATTGATGCAATGCATATCACGTCGCGATCTGCTTTTCGCTTGTAAGTTTCGGATTAACTGCAATACACCCGTCGGACGGGCAAAAGGCTCGTTGTAAATGTTGTGGGTTTACTCTCCAACACACCAGTGTGCTGTACTAGTAACGAATTGGCATGTTTTGTTTACGTGACAAACCTAAGTGTCGGGTGGTGGCAGGTTTAACGACATTTAGATTTAGACGATCTAACCCAAAACATCTTCTTATGGATATTATTCGCGAAAGCCGATGTATTTCATGGGACCTCCTTTGCGTTGTCTTTGAAACTGATTGGTCCACACCAGAGATATGCTATCAGAGTACGTTTTTTGTTTGCATTCTGACCACAAGTATTGTGGTTAATGCAGACATGATTACTAGTGAAAGGTTTCAGTTTGGTGTTTTAACATCATAACACCTGTTTTGTTGCCATAAAAAAGGGGCAAACCTATTCTGAGCATACGTATTATCTACATATTGATTTTTCTATCCACTTTAATTAACGTGGATAATCTTACTTCAACAGTGGAAAGGGTTTAAAGAAATAAAATTAATTCCAGTTCTCCTCCCATCAGGACTGTTAACTGAACTCCTGTAAACATGTTTAAGATTGCATCAGCATTTCCCATCGCAGCAATTCTGTTGCAGGGTCACGTCCGTGCAGATTTTCTGGAGAACCTTCATACTGTAAGAAGATCCTGAAAATAAATACAAGAGATAAAATATTTTTTATTTAAATTATAACTACAACCTAATGCCAAATAATGTGTTTTATCAATACATCTCTAGCCAGTAAGGAAATATCTCTGCCGTGTCTCCGAGTGCTCAGATGTAATCGGCGACATCGCACAGCCATGCACAAGGCTCAAAAGTCAAACTCCACCTGATCATATTAACGTGAATCTGAGCGATAATCTACAGATGAACTCATGATTAAAAATATAGATTTTAATCAAACTATACCAACAGGAATCGTTGCAGAACCGCGTCACCCCCACGGGTAATCGGAGTTGCGGATAAGAAGGCCGCCGATGTGAGATGACCGCCCATAGGAGGCACGGCCAGGAGGAGGGCCGTGTGCCGTGTGACGCCACTCACGTCGTCCGAGTCGGGCAGCATAAGCAGCTTGTCGGCGTCCACTTCGTCGCAGCCAAACTCGTCGTTCTGCTCCAGCTGAGAGAAGCGGTACACGGGCATGCTGCGGAGCAAACGGGCCAGCGGCACGCACCTGTGAGCAACATCTTTCTCCGTCTTTGTTCAGTGACATTTTATTCGTTCCTTTAATTTTTTTAGTTCAACGGTAGTCGTGCTTTTGTTTGCGTGTTCCACCGGTTTCCCTATCTCTGTAACGTGAAGCACGTACCGGTGCTCGCTGTGGTGTATCGCGATCTATAGAACCGTGCTTGTGTGACTAAGATCAGTACCGTGCAGTAACATCTCTACCATCGCAGAACACCCCTGAAATAGCGCTTAGCAGATTATTAGGCCGTTCCTTCTGCCACGTAAAAATTAAGCATCCTCGGGACTATTCCAAATGGCCTTCCTGATTCTTGCTAATCAGCAGCACTCGTCAAGCATGCAAACCCCGCTCTCTCAGCTGACATTTCAGCCAAATTACAACCTGATGTTTACTTCGTGACGGCACCGACGCGCGTACGGCCATTTAAAATATGCGACGTGACGCTGCGTACGGCAATCGGGGGGCACGAAGCGCCAACGGCGGGGCGAGGGTGGGGGGCTCTGTCAGTGTCCCCGGCCCCGCGTCCCCAGCCCCGCGTCCACGTCGCCGGAGCGCCGCGCTCACCTCATCCGGCAGCAGTACTTGCGCACGATGAGGGTGGCCGCCAGCACGGCCAGCGCCAGCACGACCACGACAGTGGCGATCACGCCCCAGTGCAGGTGCAGCTGCGACGACAGAGGGCCCGAATTCACTTTCAATCCTCGTCGATTCGCTGCACGCATCTACTACTGTGTTATACTGTGCACGTGTAAAGGACGCCAAAAGGCCATCGTTCTTATTTATTTCATTTACGCCGTAACTCACGGCAAGCGTACCGGCTTGACTGTTTGAATTGGGTGCTGTTAGGTGCCCGTTGGCTTGTCAATAGGCCGGGACCATCCTGATTGTTCAATGCGGGCCAGCCAATCGTGATCTACTGTCCGTCCAGCGAGCGTCGGGCTTTGCCGGGGAGATTAAACGGAAACGTGGGAGGCTTATCGAAGGGGTAACGGCTGGGAGAACGTCCACAATGTTGTGGGGGTGCCTCTTAACCCACGCGTCCCTCCACGCTGCTGCCGCTGCCCCCGCTGCCCCCGCCTGTACTGTGACCCCTCGCTTTCCCGTGGTGATGGTTGTTGTTTTGTTCGCTCGATCGCGTTCACGTCGCCGCGCGCTCCTCGCTGACCGTTCATGGCCGCACCCTCGTCGTTGATCCGTACGGATCACTCCGATGCTGTTCTTGTTCTGTGCTGATAGCACCACGGATCTCCCATGCAAACTAGCTTTGTAACTGGCTAAACATTGACTTGAATGAACCAGGATCAATTGGACCACTACCCAGACCATGGTGACTACCACTGGGACCAGAACCAAAACAGCACCACGAGAATCTTCACTGAGCCTCCCCACCAGGACCACTCGTCCCGGTGGATCACAACAACCGCCGCCGCCTGTTTGTTTCCGTACGGGCGACTGAGCGTCCGCGCAATGGCGTCGTCCTATAATTGGCGCCTTCGATGCACGGACATTAGGATTAATGTTCGGCCACTCCATGTGGCTGCTCTTATCCACAGGTGAACAAAGATAAACAGGAAGGGCCACAGGTGAGACTTTGGGTGAGTATAATTGGACAATGAGATGCCGGGTGAGAGGATTCCCCGTTGCCCTGTGCGAGACTACCTTGGGGTCGTCCTGGAGCGAATAGGTGCAGGTCTTGGAGATTGAGCGGAGATCCCCGCTGGGGCGGAAGCCGCCTTCGCAGCGGTCCCCGGGGATCTTGCGGTATCTGCGCATGGCAGTGGAGCAGAACCAGAGGGCAGGGTCGGGTATGGGGACAGAAGGAGAGGCATTTTATCAGAGTGAATGCACGCGTGTGCGTATAACACATCGATTCGGCATCCCATCACCAGACTGCAGGTCACAACAAGGGGAGCGGTGTAGCTATGAACTCGGCCACCTGAGTTCAATTCCCGCTCACGGCTAACACCAGTGACGAGTATCTGAACTGGTCACGAGCCTCCTCTAGGTTGACTCAACTTCAAATGAGTAACTGGTGCGATGTGTAAACATCACCACTGGGGATACAAAGGCGGCCGGGCGTGAGGCTGTACACCTACCCCCTCGTGTGCCGTGCCGGCCTTCATAGGTGCTACTCACTCGTAGCACTTGCCCCAACAGTCTGTTCAGGCTATACAGGGGATCTTTGTCTTTGTAAAACACATCAATACTGCAGGTCACAACAGCACACTCACCACACTGCAGGTCACCTCACTTCTGTCTCTGCTTCTTCCCTTGCACTGCTCCGCTCTGGAATTCCCTCCTCCCATCATCGTCATTGTCTCTTCTCTCAAGCTCTTACAATAATAACCGCGTTCAATTCATTAAACTCGTCAACTCTTTATCTATTCCAACGTGGATTATAGTATCAGAATCAGAATCAGAAAGGGTTTTATTCGCCATGTAAGTTCACACCGACACGGAATTTACTTTGGCAGGATGGTGCATACATTCAACATATAGGAATCTAAAATCTTAAATAAGTTTTAAACAAGTCTTACTATAATAAGGGTTAAAAGTCTAACACCAAGGGGCTGAAGTATATAAAATTAAATACATATCGAATATAAAATAGCTTTAAGATATAATTTAAAAATAAAAAATACAAATAGGGTAACATAGTTAATATCGGCAAGGTGTCGTTATGTAGATCAAATGTTAAAAACAGTGTTAGCCCTTGGCCTTGTTTAACAGGCCAGCAGCAGATGGGAAGAAACTGTTTTTATGGCGTGAGGTTTTGGTCCTGATGGACCGAAGCCTTCTGCCGGAGGGGAGTAGCTGAAACAGAGAGTGTCCAGGGTGGGAGAAATCGGCCATAATCTTCCTCGCTCGCCTCATGGACCTTGTCGTGTGCAGGTCCTCGAGGGTTGGTAGATTGCAGGCAATCACCTTCTCAGCAGTGTGGATGATACGCTGCAGTCTGCTCTTGTCCTTGGCAGTGGCAGCAGCGTACCAGACGGTTATGGAGGAGGTGAGGATGGATTCAATGATCGCTGTATAGAATTGCACCATCATTGTCTTTGGCAGGTTGAATTTCTTCAGCTGCCGTAGAAAGTACATCCTCTGTTGAGCTTTCTTGGTGAGGGAGCTGATGTTCAATTCCCACTTGAGGTCCCGGGAGAGAATAGTGCCCAGGAAGCGGAAGGACTCTACAATTTTTACTGGGGAGTCTAACAGGGTGATGGGGGTGAGTGGTGCTGTATTCTTCCTGAAGTCCACAACCATCTCAACTGTCTTTAGAGCATTTAGCTCTAAGTTGTTCTGGCTACACCAGGTCACCAGATTGTCAGCTTCCCACCTATAGTCAGACTCATCCCCACCAGAGATCAGCCCAATGAGGGTGGTGTCATCCGCAAACTTCAATAGTTTGACGGACAGATGATTGGAGGTGCAGCTGTTGGTATACAGGGAGAAGAGCAGAGGGGAAAGGACGCAGCCCTGAGGAGTTCCGGTGCTGATGGACCTGGAGCCAGAGACTTGTGTTCCCAGCTTAACGCACTGCTTCCTGTCAGACAGGAAGTCTGTGATCCATTTACAGGTGGTGTATGGCACGTTCAGCTGGAAGAGCTTGTCCTGAAGCAGGGCAGGGATGATGGTGTTGAAGGCAGAGCTGAAGTCCACAAACAGGATCCTGGCGTAGGATGCTGGGGCGTCCAGATGCTGTAGGGTGAAGTGGAGGGCCATATTAACTGCATCGTCCACAGACCTGTTGGCTCTGTAGGCAAACTGAAGGGGGTCCAGGAGAGGGTCTGTGATGGCTTTGAGGTGTGCCAGGACCAGGCGCTCAAAAGACTTCATTACCACAGATGTAAGGGCGACCGGTCTGTAATCATTTAGTCCTGTTGGCCTTAGCTTTTTGGGCACAGGGATGATGGTGGAGGACTTGAGACAGGCTGGTACATGGCATGTCTCCAGGGAGGTGTTAAAGATGTTGGTGAACACCGGAGACAGCTGGTCAGCACAGTGCCTGAGGGTGGCTGGAGAGACAGAGTCCGGCCCGGCTGCTTTGCGTGGATTCTGCCTCTTGAAAAGTCTATTAACTTCTCCCTCCTGAAAGGAGATAGTCGTCTCTGTAGTATTGGTGGGGGATGGGGCCTCTTGGGTTGGAAGGGGTGGTTCAGGACAGTCCAATTGTCTTTCAAATCTACAGTAGAACTCGTTCAGGTCGTTGGCTAGGCGGGAGTCGTTAGTGGTGTGGTGGGCTCTGGGTTTGTAGTTGGTGATCTGCCTGAGCCCTCTCCAGACAGAAGCAGCGTCGTTTGTAGAGAACTGGTGTTTTAGTCTCTCTGAGTACAGTCGTTTAGCCTCTCTCACCGCTTTGCTAAACCTGTTCTTCGACTCCTTGAATCTGTCTCTATCTCCACTCCTAAACGCTTCCTCCTTCTCCAACCTCAACCTTCTGAGCTTTGCTGAGAACCAGGGCTTATTGTTGTTAAAGTTCACCCTGGTACGTGTTGGGATACAGCAGTCCTCACAGAAGCTGATGTAGGACGTCACAGCCTCTGTGAGTTCATCCAGACTATTGGTAGCAGTCGTGAACATATCCCAGTCAGTACAGTCTAAGCACGCCCGCAAATCTTCCACAGCCTCACTGGTCCACTGTTTAGATGTCCTCACAGCAGGTTTACAGAGTTTCAGTTTCTGCCTGTATGCAGGAATCAGGTGGACCATGGCATGGTCAGAGTGTCCTAGTGCTGCTCGGGGGACGGCGTGGTAGGCTCTACTGACTGTAGTGTAACAGTGATCCAGAGTGTTCCCTTCTCTGGTTGGGCATTTAATGAATTGTATGTATTTGGGGAGTTCGTGGCTGAGATTACCTTTGTTAAAGTCGCCAAGTACGATAACCAACGAATCTGGATTTGCTCGCTCCACACTCAGAATCTGATCGGCGAGCATGCGTTGGGCCTCTTTAACCTGAGGACAAGGCGGCAAATAAACTCCGACCAAAATGAGCGACGCGAACTCGCGAGGCGAGTAAAACGGTTTACAGGTTATAAAAATTGATTCAAGGAGTGGAGAACAATGTTGCAGAATCACTGTGACATCTACACACCAGCCACTGTTAATGTAAAAACAAATACCACCGCCTTTCGTCTTGCCGGAGAGTGCTATGTCACGATCCGATCTTACAAGATGGAATCCTGCTAGTTGTAGCGAAGTGTCCGGAATCAAATCACACAGCCATGTTTCCGTGAAGCACAATGCAGAAGCTGAAAGAAAGTCTTTGTTTTTTACCATCAGTAGCTGAAGTTCATCCATTTTGTTGCACAGTGAACGTACGTTGGAGAGGAAAAAGCTCGGAAGCACTGTTCGGATCCCGCGTCTGCGTAGCCGTACTAGAGCCCCCGACCGTTTACCCCTTGGGCGGCGTTTCGTCGCTTGAGCAAAGCCTAGCGCGGCATTGACTAGAATGCCTACTAATTCTGCCGCTGGAAGCAGAAAAGTAGGAATTAAATCCACAGGAGTTGTTTCCCTGATATTTAAAAGTTCGTCTCTTGTTAGAGAACTCCGAAAATCTTGGCAAAACACTGAATTGACAGACAAAACAAGACAAAACAGGGCGCACCGACCGGCTGAGGCTACCATCATCAGCGCCATCTTCGCACCAGCACGGGTGTGCTGAACAGCAGGCCTCTCTCACCAGCACTGGTGTGATGAACAGCAGGACTCTCTCACCAGCACTGGTGTGTTGAACAGTAGGCCCCTCTCACCAGCATGGGAGTGGTGAACAGCAGGCCCCTCTCACCAACACAGGTGTGATGAACAGTAGGCCTCTCTCACCAGCATGGGAGTGAACAGCAGGCCCCTCTCACCAACACGGGGGTGATGAACAGCACGCCCCTCACACCAGCACGGGTGTGATGAATAGTAGGCCTCTCTCACCAGCACGGGTGTGATGAACAGCAGGCCCCTCTCACCAGCACGGGTGTGTTGAACAGCAGGCCCCTCTCACCAGCACGGGTGTGTTGAACAGCAGGCCCCTCTCACCACCACGGGTGTGTTGAACAGCAGGCCCCTCTCACCAGCACGGGTGTGCTGAACAGTAGGCCCCTCTCACCAGCACGGGTCTGTTGAACAGCAGGCCCCTCTCACCAGCACGGGTGTGCTGAACAGTAGGCCCCTCAACACGGGTGTGCTGAACAGCAGGCCTCTCTCACCAACACGGGTGTGCTGAACAGTAGGCCCCTCAACAGCAGGCCCCTCTCACCAGCACGGATGTGATGAACAGCAGGCCCCTCTCACCAGCACGGGTGTGCTGAACAGCAGGCCCCTCAACACGTGTGAGCTGAACAGCAGGCCTCTCTCACCAGCACGGGTGTGCTGAACAGCAGGCCCCTCTCACCAGCACGGGTGTGCTGAAAAGCAGGCCCCTCTCACCAGCACGGGTGTGTTGAACAGCAGGCCTCTCTCACCAGCACGGGTGTGCTGAAAAGCAGGCCCCTCTCACCAGCACGGGTGTGTTGAACAGCAGGCCTCTCTCACCAGCAAGGGTGTGCTGAAAAGCAGGCCCCTCTCACCAGCACGGGTGTGTTGAACAGCAGGCCTCTCTCACCAGCAAGGGTGTGCTGAACAGCAGGCCTCTCTCACCAGCAAGGGTGTGCTGAACAGCAGGCCCCTCAACACGGGTGTACTGAACAGCAGGCCTCTCTCACCAGCACGGGTGTGATGAACAGCAGGCCCCAAAACAGCAGGCCTCTCTCACCAGCACGGGTGTGATGAAAAGCAGGCCTCTCTCACCAGCACGAGTGTGTTGAACAGCAAGCCCCTCTCAAGACAAAACAAGACAAAACTGGACAAAACAGGGCGCACCAACCGGCCGAGGCTGCCATCATCGGCGCCATCTTGCCATTTTCGTGTGTTGCTGACCACTTGACATTTTGTGTCTTTAGGGCCTGGGCTCCGCAGCAGCGTTGAAAATAAAACCTCTCAAATCGTGGCGACCGTAAGAGCTGCGGCACAAGGCAGAGACGCACCCTTGGGTGAGCAGCTCCTCCTGCTGGCCCCGCGCGCACACGTGCAGGGAGCGCCGGCCTGGGGCGCTCGCCTCCTCCACGCACTCCCAGCTGCCGTTGGGCCGGAAGAATCCAAAGTCACTGGCAGCGGAAACGAGGAGACTTAGCGCGGCCACGAGGTTTGGAATGTGCGCGAGTGAATATGTGCGTGCGTGCGTGTGAGCGTGTGGGGCGGTGGTGCAGTGGTAGTGCGCTGCGCCACCGAACCCGGCCACCCGAGTTCAATTCCCGCTCATCGCCAGCACTGGTGACGGTTATCTGAACCGGTCCTGGGCCTCCCCTTGGTTGACTTAGCCTCAAATTAGTCCCTGTTGTGGTGTGTAAACATCACCATTGGAGAGACAAAGGCGGTCAGGCGTGGTGCTGGCCACTCACAGCCTCATGTGCTGTGCTGGCCTTCATAAAAGTCTGTAAAGGTTATATGGGGGATCTTTCGCTTTGTGAGGGTATATGTGTGTGTACATGTTTGCTATGTGTACGTGTTAATTGACCCTAGGACACCCATGCAAATTAGTCGTTCCATCTCCAGGGATTGCCATAGTGAAATGTGTCAATTAAAAAAAAGAACCAGAATTGTCAAAAAAATATATTTTGGACAAAGCTGCAAAACATTACTGCATTATCAACTTTACAAATATGAATTCCGGTTGTGACGGTGTCCCCCGCACCGTCGCACTGTCCCTGACCCCAGGGCACAGAGCTGGGAGCGAGTGCACTCACCACGAGTAGTCGCGCTGCGTGCACGGGCACGGCACGGAGCGCGACGCCGGGCGGAGCGCTTGTCCGTTGGTGCGGCACGCGGCATCGGGCTTGAGGCGCATGTCGTGCTCGGTGGAGCCCAGCACGCAGCCGCGGCCCAGGGGAGCCGTCCACTCCTCGTAGTCCCCGGCGACACCTGGCACGGCGCAAGGGTGGCAACGCTTCCGCTCGGTTGCTAGGGCTGGGCTACGAGACCCAGGATGGTTCGGAATCGTAACCGGACTGCGTGCCTGTGACATGACAAGCGGCCCGGACCTAACTCCTGCTGAGGGCTCCGGCGAGGCAGCAACGCCAACCTGAGGAAGTTTGACGAAGCGCTACGACTGCAGCGAAGCTTGTATCGTCTTTTAATTATTTATGTTCTTGTTTAAAACACAGTTGGCTGATCACAGGCACAAAGGCCTGCAACAACTAGCGGGCAGCAACAAGCAGCACCGTCAACGCAGTAGCAGTAGGTTACAGTTAACGTGCTTTATTGATGTAAGAGCTTCGGAAAGGAATCAACGGGAGGAAGTTCCAAAGGGGAGCAGTTGAAGGGAAGACGCATAGAGAGAAGAGCTACGTGGTGTGCTGGTTGAACACGTGCTGGTTCCTGTGCGTGATCACCAAGTGGAACTTGTGGCACAAACTTCAGCAGTAGACAGCTAAAAGCTGTTGAGATGCAAATCCCAAATATGGCTTTGGATCTGCTAAAATGTAAATGGTTAACAACTGGCTTCTGGGAGCCAGGTCTCACTTAGTCACAGAGGGAAGAGTCGCTCACTGAGGAGAATGGGTGTGACTCAGAGGGGTGACTCAGTCACACTTGGGACAGAGCGGAAACCTACAAGGGGCAACTGAGTCACAGATGTTGACTCGGCCACAGAGGGGCGACTCGGTCACAGATGTTGACTCGGCCACAGAGGGGCGGCTCGGCCACAGAGGGGCGACAAGCACTGTTGGCTCACAGTTGCGCTGCAGGAGCTGGCTGAAGTCGATGGTAGTGAGGACGAGTCGTGGCGTGGGGTGGAGGCGCCGGGCAAGGACGCTCGCGGAGAGCGAGCGAGCGCCGGGCTCTGTGAGCAGCCGCTCCAGGGCTAGGGGCTCCAGTGAGAACATGACGCTTCCCCAGCACCGACCTTCGTCCAGTGAGAACCTGCAGCGCGGGGCGCAGCAGCGGCGGGGAGAGAGGCGGACAAAGACGGAGCGTTGGAGGTGTTTGGAATGTGAAAGTGTCGACGTGGCAAGGACACGCCGTAAGAGAAGCGGACACGGCACGACGACGGGGGCTGCCGTGGAAGACAGCGGATAGTCACATCGACGTTCCGTTAGACTGACAGAGCGGCCTCGCCCTGCCGCATTTAAAGCAGCGCAGGGGAGAGCGTGGCACATCTGGCGGCGCCGGGCACCTCACGGTGTTGACGGTGGCGGCGTAGGGCACGGCCACCAGCAGTCCCCCAGAGTTGAGGATGGCGCAAACGTGCGGTCCCTCCAGGGAGCGCGCCCAAGAGTGGCCTCCGTCGCGCGACACGTACACGTCCGGGGCCGCCGCCGGCGCTTGGCTCTGCCCCACGGTGCCTGGGGGTAAGGGGCGACGAGGACCGGATTCGATGCGAACGTCAAGGGTGGCCAGAGGCGTCCCTACGGTATGACAAATCGGGGCGATCGCCCCGGTCCCTGTGCTTTTGGGGGCCCCGCGCTTCGACGTAACGGGTAACGGTGTCAGACGTAACGCTTGCGGCTTGGTTTGAAAACGTCCCCTGTGATTTCCCCGGGCCCCGCACCCCCTGCTCAGGACGGCCCCGATGGTGACAGCACAGGCACATTGTGCCCTGGTGCAGGGGAGCAACAGCATGCCACCCGCCATTCTCCTCGTCGTTGGTAGATGGCACCACAGAGCCATTTCCACAAACGGTGACTGCACAAAAACCAGGCTGCTCAAAGGAGCTGCGGCGATCGCCATGCGGGGAGACAAGGCTGCCCGAGTTACACCCACGGTGCGAAATGTCACCGAGGTTGGCCCTGGTTGGATTACAACACTGGAGGTGACTGCGTGTGGTCTCATCACACCGGACAATTCGATTTCACGTTGTACCCTTTATCTAATAATGGCGGAGCAGAGAGAAATCATATTATGCTTTGCTCGGGACACCTGGGGAAGTAGGGCGCAAGGGTGAAGAGAATCAGATCATAGGCCCAGCCTGGCTTCTAAGGCCACAACTTGACCACGATTATTTCTCGTAAAATTCACAGCCAAAGAATGAGGAAAAAATAGAAATCGCAGAAAGGTCAGGGAAGAAGCAGGGGGTGGCGCCTGTACTTGATTATATATGTTTTATACATATATGTTGAACTTCTTTTGCACTGTACATAGCCGGCCGTGCTTATCGGAGGTGTGGGTGAAGGACAACAAACTAAACACAAAAAGCAGTTCAAATGAAATGATACATTTGTCTTGAATTAATCTTTAAATAAAAAGTGAGGGAGGCCGGGCAGCAGCATCTCACCGTGAGCCAGTACCAGGCCGGAAGCGCTGGGCTCGCTGAGCGGGCCGTGCGGCACCTCTCGCACCTCCTGGGACATGCTCAAGTCCGAGTGGATCGTCAGGCGGCACTGCTGACACACGGACAAACATCCCCCATATAGCCTTTAGCAAACTGTTAGGGCAAGTGCTGTTAGCGAGTAGCGCTTCTGAGAGCCGGGACAGCACACGAGGTGGTGGGTGGCCAGCGCCACACCCGGCCACCTTTGTCCCCCAGTGGCGACGTTTATGTATCGCACCAGATACTCATTTGAGTCTGAGTCGACCTAACGGAGGCCCAGGACCGGTTCAGATAATCGCCACTGGTGTTGGTGGCTGTGAGCGGGAATCGAACTCGGATCGCTGAGTTTGTAGCGCAGTGTGCTAACCGCTGCACCACCACTCACACTCCCCTCCAAGAGGCAACCATTTTAGTGACAAAAACTACACAACGTGCAACCAAACACACAAATGGTCTGCAATTTGCTTGCTCACACCATTGTGACTCAAGTTGAAAGACGACATTACACACGATTAGGGTGATGATGATTTTGAGAATGGAGGTGGTGGTGGAGTTTTATCATGATGATATTGAGAATGGAGATGATCACGATGATCATGATGATGTGTAGATGATGATGGCCGAACACATTGAGGCTCTTGACGAGCCAGTCCGTCACACTGCATTCAGCCTCAGCCACTGCGTGAGGTTGGCTCGGGAGCCGCGTCCGAGTGGGCGCGTGGACGGACCTGCTCTTCCCCGTTGCCACCCTCACACGGCACGTTGGTGGGCCTCGGCAGCGGCTGCCACGCCCCACCCTGGTCGAATGTGATCACGGAGCGCGCCGAGCCGTCTGTGGCGACAAGAGAGATGCGCGGCAGAACGCGACGTTTGCGCCAGCGCTGGAAAGACGCCGCAAACCCACAAGGGGAGATTTCACTGTCGCGGGCGTGGTGGCGCGTGACTGGGGGGTGATATGACTGGGATCTTGTGTCGGAGTTCCCGCTTTTGGCTGAAACATCCAGGAGACGAAACCTCCACAAAGGGGTTTGCCCCAGGGGGAACCTCTCGTCGAGTGTCTCCGTCTCAACGCGGTCCTGCGAGTTCAGGAGCAGGGGGGCGAGTGGGCGGCACGAGACGCCTACGTCAGGACAACTGTGAGACGGCGACCTGAAGTAGGGAGCCGCCGAGGAGGATTATGAGGAGATGGAGTCAACATGAGACAGATACGCGTGATGGGCAATGAGCTGCCTGGAGTGGGCAGCACAGAAAGTAGAATTATGACCTCTGTACGTAGTTTGGGTGGAATGGTAACGTTTTATACTCGTGACAAAATCAGCTAGAATGTACCCGATTTCGTCAGATCTTGGAAGCTAAGGCGGGCTTGAGCCTGGACGGTGCTTGGGTGGGTGACCGCCAGGCATGGCACAGGTGCTGTGAAGCCTCACAGCACCTGTGCCATGGGCGACATTGTCACTCGCGGGAAGTGCGGCAAAATCCATTGTACTGTACACTCTCCAACATCTACGCTCCCCGCCTTTCCATCAACCTGCACTGAGAAGCATGATGGGGGACGGTCGAACAACCCCCACGGCCTACACGGCCTGGGGCGGTGCTGGCCATGATCAATCGGTGGATTGACAAGAGCTGCACGTGCACGGTAACGTGCATGGTAACGTTCACGGCAACGTGTACTGTAACGTGCACGGGCCTCCCGGGGGAAACCCGGAGGCGTTGCAGGAGTCGCGTTGCCCAACGCAGGCGCCAACGGCTCCCATGAGCGCGGCCGTCCGCGGTGCCGCGCCCGCTCGCCGTGCCGCAGCCCCTCGCCTGCAGAGAGCCGGCTGGTGATGAAGGCGCCCCGCGCCGACGTCACGTTGATGAAGTCCGCGGAGCCGTTCCGCGCCGTGTACAGGTGGCTAGCCAAGGACTCCGAGAAGACGGCCCCCCGGTCATCCGATACGTACAGTGTGCCCCGACCCGTGTCTGTGGGCGGCAAACCCGGTAAATGTGCGACGGTGGGAACAACGTCGACGCGCAGTTTGGAACCGTTGGACCAAAGTTGGGCCAACGTTGGTCCGACGTTCCGTGTCTACTGGGAAACGGATGTGGCCTCCGAGTGAGTTCATCGTCACAGTGGCAGGCCTGTCTGGCTGGAGTCCGCTCACCTCAAGAGTATTTTGTTAAGGTGAGAACTCAAGGGACCATGGTGAGAGTCTCATTGACAGCAGTGACCGGGGTCACCAAACTTACAAAAAACAAAACAAAGTGCAGCAATGAAGCAAAGAGAAATCATAGCAAAAACAAGCCTCGGATTTCAGGATTTGAACGTATAGGGCGCTTAAATGCTCAACATCTCAAAGAAGCTTCCATCGTACGTCAAGCCAGCCTGAAGGATCGCAACTGAACACGTGGATGTGACAACAGTGCCACAGAACCAGCGTCATCGGTCGCATTCCCCGTTCTGAGTTGAGTTCGGTAACCAGTCGGCCACTCACCTCCTTTCTCGTCCACGTGTACGAAGATTATGTTGTCATCCGCTCCCAGGATAGAGTAAAACTGAACGGATGACAAACAGCTACACGTCAGTGAGGAAAACGGTGGAGAAACATGTGCCGAGCTCTCACCAGCATAAACATTCTTGCATTACCGTTCTTATTATCACTGCCTTATGTGTTCTCGAGACAATAGCCTGGCTAGAGGAGTTCTCTTGGTCACTGTGAATCACGCGTGACCCGTTAAGTTAATGCAGCTGGTTATAATCTCCGAGTTACTCAAGAAAACCTCGCCAAGTTTCAACGCTGGCCATGAGGAGGTTTTAATTTTGGGACGCATGGACAGTTCCTCTTTAATATGAATGTCTGCTGGGGACATACAGAATACCAAAGGGGAAATGGTGCGGACGGTGCGACTACCACTCCAACCACGCACTGAGAACCGAGGAACCTCCACTAGCTGGGTCAACGTAAGCTGTACACTCTCCTTATCTCGTCGACTGTTACAGGCGATGGAGATGGCGATGGTGTGCAGCAGCATAATGTTCGTGTCTCATCAGCAGTCGTGCTTGCTTGAGCCAATGCTGGTGGACTCTCAGGATGTGTACAGGCAGGGGCGACATGGGTGCCACGTTTAACTCTGCCGCACCTTGACAGAACCGTGGTGGCGGGTGACGTGACACGCGTGTGACACGTCGCATGCTTAGCGGGACGTGGCGCGGTGCCACGTCGCATCACGTCCGCCGTGATGGACTGCGAGAAGGGGGCGGTGAGGCGTGAAGCAAAAGCCACGGCGTGACTCATCAAGGCAGGGTGGTGTCGCCGTGTCGACCAGCGGTCAACTCGGTCTAGAGCAAGCATCCGGCGGTGGTGGCCAGTCCGCCGATTGGAGCGCGGTGCCAGCCTTAACGGGTGGTCTGCACGGCTGAGACGCACGGCCCCATGGCGCGTGGTTCGTGACACGAGGCACGGACCGGTGCGATGGGCGGAATGGACGCTGCGGGGATGCAACGTGTGGCGCGAGAGGGCTGGTGAGCAGCGCGCGGGGCTGCGATGTCTCCCTCACCTCTTCGGTGTCGATGGGAGGCAACTGGGCCATGGTCCAGGAGTCTCCCCGGTCTGTGGACACCTGCAGCACCCGCTGCTTGTCCTGCAAGTGCAGCACAGACCGGGGGGGGTGGGGGGTGGGGGGGCAGTTTCCACGCAGTGCAGCTTCGGTCCCCAGCGGCGATGGGCACGGTCGTTTCATGCAATGGCCGACAACTCGTCCGAGACAGAGAAAAGCGCGGAGAGCGCCTGCAAGGAGATATCTGCCAAGGAAACGGCCAGGCTCCAACGGCCCAATAGGCCAAGACCTCATTCCAGCCAAGCGGGAATATCAGCTGTGGGTGGACGGATGAATGCACGTGGGATTTATGTAGCACAGAATTTGCTTGGCAGGTCTTTTTTTTAATTACAACTCAACGAGACCCCAGCACAAAGTACTGATCACAGTACGGGGGGGGGGGGGGGGGGGGGGGGACAGAACCTCCGTGAACAAAAGGCTGAGTTCGTTCCGGCCAGGGCTTTTAATGAAGGGGGAAATTTGGGCTCTCTGCCCCATGCACGTGGAGACCACAAAGCAAGAACGTGGAAATTTATGAGGGAAGGGTAAGGGGCTTGGCACGCCTTTTTCAAGGGCACACTTTGAATGACATATCTTTACCGAAGATCTACAATGCTATTTTATTCAAGGTTCAAACGTTCCTGAATTTCGACACACCCTGCAGGTGTAAGGATTGACCGGTTCAAAATAATTGCTCAGACTTAATGGTGGCAACCCATGATGGTACAGAAACCGTGTCACAGCCCTTGTAATCAGTAATCTCTCGTTCGTGTTGTCACAGACTAAGCCCTATTTGGAAAGAAAGTAAATAAGGACACAATACTGCTCCTTCCCAGGGACAAGAACAATGTAGGGGTTGTTTTTTTTTGCATTCCCTCAGCCACACGCGCATTGTGCGAGTGTTCAGCAATCACGTAACAATGACAGCTGCGTTGGTTCAACACAAGCACACTCTCGAACGGTTTCGACACTCATTGTCTCAACTTCAGAAAGATCATTTTCTTCAAGAAGCAGGGTCTATTTGTAAATCAGTGTTACGTGGCTAGACACAGCAGCCTCTTACAGAAATAAGATGGATGAGTCGTAATCGGGAGCCGACGAGTTAGAATTCTGTGTCACGTTGCCTCTAGCGTTTCTCTCTCTCGATTTTTTTCTACAACAGAAAAGCTGCCACGACGTTTAATTATTTATCAGGAAAGTACAGTCACTTTAACCTCACTGTAGCATGCTGCAATAGTGTCCACAGATACAAAGTCACTCGTGAGAAAACAATTGTATAACAATATTATCAGCATCAGCCGTGATCTATCCACTGCTGCATGGAGGCCTCTCTAAGCCATCTCTATTTTTTATGCATGCCTCACCACGTTGCCCAGTCGGGATTCGTCATGAAAATTTAATGTCCCTTTCCTGACACTCATCGCTGCGTGATCACCATTCCTGCCTCTTGAGTGTAGTAAAAATCAGACAAAACCTACGCCTGGGTTTTTCTGATAGAGCTTTGTTCAGAGTCTGTGTTCACTCCATGCGTCACGCGTGAGTGTGCTGAGCTGCTCAATGGGCTCGTAATTAGATTCTCTAACAAAAAAAACGTCATAAGGCATTGCATCCAAACGGATGAACCGATTTTTGATAATGCTGAATAATAACCTCCAGTGGTTGAGTAATTGCATAATCATTTCTGCACGCTTTAATGAATAAGGCGTAAATCGAGAAAAAATAATTGCCACTACAGTATAATATTCTCAACCATTTGAAGAGTGGCGTGGCTTACTCCTGCGCTAGCGCCGGGACTTTGTAGAGATTCCGTAACCGTTCGTTAAAACTGTGCCGCTAAACGGGCGACCAATAACTGCAGCAATGGCGGCTTGGTAATTGAGGCTTATTGTCTAATATGCAAGCGCTCAGCCACGAGTGACTCCTCTCATCTGTGCCGCAAGGATAATGGGTGTGCGGACAACGGGAAGAACAGCAGATCACTTGGGGCTTGTAATGGGACGGCGAGTAAGAGGGCTTTCACCACCCTCTCGGGTAGGCAGAAGATGGGCGGTGTCCTCATAGGGCCCCGACGCAGGGTTAGGGCTCGGAGCGGCCGGGGGTGGTCGTGCGTGGCGCGCCACCTTTTCGTGGACGACGGAGGCGCAGAGGAAGCGACCCCCGATCCCGAACGAGTAGACGCGCTCGGCGATGCGCTGAGCGCTCCTGCTGGAGTCGGAGCTCCTCATGAGCTCCAGCGTTCCCACGATCGCCTCCTCCACCTCTAGGGGACACGGCGCTCGGTCAGAGAGACACCGTCAGCACAGCAGAGAACGCCCGTCAACGAGAGCAGGGGTTGCTGAGCGGTGGGAGAAGGGGCTGAGCAGTGGGGGGGTGCACTGCTGTGACTGCGTCTCACTCTGTCCGTGTGGAGAGGCCAGGTAGTAGGCAGTGGTGTCCTGGGGGCTCCTGCCAACAAAAGAGCCGCAGCTTAGGGGAGCGTCTCCGCTCGCCACGCACCCACACCGATGGCAACGACGAGGGCCGGAGCGTGATGGACGCCGCGGCTTCGGCCGTGTCGGCGCATGCGCCGTGCCCACACGCCATCGCGGCCCCGACTCACCACTTGTAGGCGCGCACAGCGTCGCCGAGCTTCTTGAAAGATCCGAAAAAGTCTTCGGTGATCCACAATTCATTCTAAATTGAAGACAAATATGTTAGCGATTTTATAATACTCGAGTGCACTGTACAAGGAAACAAACCACCTTTTGACTCACAAAATAGATCAGTAGAAAATACGTCTGCCCTCGTATGTCTGTCTCTCGACACGCAATAATTTCAGCAGGATTGATTCAGCACAAGCAAAACTCTGGACCGATTTTGACACAGCGTCTCATAAGCAGAGCCAGGCTTGGCTTGGATCACTGCTGGTGAACGAACGGCGAAGTTTTTAAAGGCAAGGACATCCGGCAGTGTTGGGTGGTGGAGCGTTCACGGCTCTAGTTGACGTAACGCCCACATGGTCCAACTCACAAAACTAATGTTGCAATGCACACCATTGTGTGTTGTCAAGCCCTCAATGCTTTTTACGTAACATGACGATGGAACATGCCAGGTCGTTCAACAAACTTCGCGATGTTGCTTGGGAAAGACTGCTGCTACACGTTTATGTTCCTGTAAAGTGCACGTGGGTAGCGGTAGCGTAGTTTTGAGTCCGCCACCCTACGAACCCAGTGACCCGAGTTAGTTTCCGACTCACGGCCAACATTTGGTGATGATTATCTGAACCGGTCCTGGGTCTGCTCTAGGTCGACTCAACCTGAAATTAGTACCTGGTGTGATGTGTAAACTTTGCCACTCGGGAGGCAAAGGTGGCTGGCCGTGGTGCCGGCCCGCTCGCGCGCCGAACCGGTCCTCACAGACACTCGCTAACAGCACTTGCCCCAGCAGTCTGTTCAGGCTACCCGGGAGATTTTCGTCTTTACGAGGTCCGTGGCAACTGTACGTTGTGAGCCCAGGGCAGGGCGGGCGGCGCCACATACGCTGGAAGAGGAAGCCAGCAGATGGTCATGGCTGGCGGAGTGGAACGCCATGCCGTGCTGCGGAGTGAACGGCATGTCCCTGGCCCGGAAGGTTTTGCCGCCGTCTTCCGAGATCCAAACCTTCACGTCCCTCGCGATGTTCTCACGCGGCAGCAAGACCACCTGAAAGAGCCAGGGTGCCCAGGCACACGTGGAGTGAATGCGTACGCGTGTTTTTGTATTGTTTCGTTGTTGTAGCGTTTTTACCTGCCCCTACTATGAAAAAGAGCTTTATAGCTCATCGGATTCCTCCAGTAAATATTCTCTTTCTGAGCTGATAGTGGGTGGGCTTTCCCCGCATTCCACCTGTGCACCCGAGAAACTGAGATATACGAAATGTGATGCCACATTTGGATTCATAATTGTTCAAAACCTCCAGACACAAACATTATTTTATATGCTTTGAGATAAATGTAGGCCGCAAGTTTAGGGAGATCAAAATTTATACCGTATCTTTTTTTGGTTTTCAAATGTGGAGTCCCATTTGGCATCAGCGGCGTCAGACATTCTGTTATTGTATGTTAAATGAAAAAGTATAAAAAAAAATGCACCCCCAGGCTTAGTAGAGCCCAAGAGAAAAGTAAAACACTATGGGATTAACAATAATAAATGATAGTTGAGCCTGCACTATTCTGAATGTAAATTATATTTATAGGCATTCAATCGTATTCATGCCAAGTTTCAGCTTTGTATCCCCTGTGGGAAAATCATTGGAATTGACAACCCTCACTCGTGGCTGCCTGTGCGATGCACAAACACGCACGCGGGTAAGCGTGCGTGTTTGTGCACCTGCGGGCGCGCACTTATGATGTGTGGATTCACACGCGGACGCTCGATCTCGATGGTCATGGAACCGAATAGACATGGGGCATCACAGGGGGCACCACCTCATATCAGGCAGCACGAATATCCACAACCTCGGCGTAATATTTCGCCAGAGAGAGACACGAGGCTGCTAGAGCAGACGAGGGATCTGGCAGAAGGAAGGAAGCGATATTGGCACATGGTGGCATCAACCGCACTGAGCGCAAGTTTAAGTTCGAGCGCCTTCTCGGCCGTGTCGAGAAGGCGCTGGCAGGGGGCACGGGAGAGAGCGAGCGCTTGGATCTGTGGTGTGCACGGAGCAGCGTGCAGACACGCTCGCACCAACACCCCTTGCGGTCCGCGCCACTAGACTGGGACCCACACCACGCCGCCGCACCACCGAACTTCCGCGGCACACCACACACGCACCACCACACCGGCGCCGAGCGTGTCGCCGCCGACCGTGAGCGTCCCTACCCGCTGGGAGCTCCCGGGGCCCACAATGACCTCGAGGGCCGGCAGCGCATGGCCTCCGTCGACCAGTGCCGAGATGTCGGAGAAGCTCCCGCCGTAGTCCTCGCTGTAAGGAGGCGCAGTGTGCAGAGTGAGCCGGGGCGGGCGAGTGGCCACAACCCGTCAACTGTCCGAGTATGGCGACCGACGTGTCAAATGTTATTTGTAAATACTTTTCACCTGGAAAAATGAAATCGCTCGGGACGGAACGTGTCGTTGGCAAGCGTGCTATTAGGACTATATGAACTCCATCATAGATGACGGTGGTTAAAGATTGGAGCTATTGTGGCCGTGCAATCCAAATTACGGACCACATAGTAACCCAATGGCATTCGGCTCCTGAACACATCGTCATCGGTGTTGGTTTATGAAGACGGATGCTAAGGATGGTCAGGACCACGACAGAATCGACGCTGGGTGTATGTGGTCTGTTTGTCGACATATCTGAGGAGAGGCCATGCGGCTCATTTGCCCCCACCCCATGTCACGTGATCTGGCTGGGTAATGTTGATTCTGGTTGAATTTAAAGGCACGGAACAATGTTATCGTCACTAATTAAACACAATGCTAAATTAACTTTGAAACAACTATAGTGATTTCAGAGCTTAACGTAAGCATATCCTGTGTAATTTTGATATGATTTAGCTTGATATTAATACTTAAATCGTAGTGTGTAAATCGTGGACATTACCGGATGTTAACCTCCACAACAACGCGAATGATTCTTTTTGTGTGAGGCTGGGGCTGGGGGGGGTCACTCTCTCCGAGCCGGCCCTGCTCACCTTCGGTAGAGGCGGCTCTTCCAGGACACAGCCTCGATGACTCGTGACACGGCCAGCACCACCTAGAGCACAGCGAGGGGCCCGCGCCAGACACCCCCGGGACCCCCCCATCCGCATCATGATTTGGACATCTGTGAAAAAGAGCTTTATAGCTCATCGGATTCTTCCAGTATAAATATATATTCTGATTCTGAGCATTTACACAAATGATTACCCACACTTTTAAAGTGTCTGAAATTTACATCCGAACTTGCCTATCTGAAAATAATATTATAAAGACCAATGTTGGCTTAAAGTATATCGTGAAACGTAACAATGATGGTTGTTTTTTTTTTTATCACGGTGCTACTGCGTGCATTAGCTCTTGGTTGGACGAGAGACGCGGTTACCCCATGGTTAACCCCGTGTCTCTTTGTTGTCCTTCCCCCGCGCCTCCGATTTGCATAGTTGGCTACGTACGGTGGAAAAGAAATTCAACATACACACACATACCCCGGTGTCTCGTCCGACCCACGTGATGGTCACGTTGGCGCTCTCGTCATTCTGAAATTCGAACTGCAAACACATGGGACACACACAAAACAAAGACCCCCATATAGCATTTGACAGACTGTTGGGGCAAGTGTTTTTAGCGAGCACCTATTAAGGCTGGCACGGCACACGAAGGAGCGGGTGGGCAGCACCACGCCCGGCCGCCTTTGTCTCCCTAATGGCGATGTTTACACACCACACCGCAGTCACTCACACACATGCACAGTGGTAACGCACACAAGATAACGCACACAAGTTCATTGTCTCAAAAGTGGTCGGCGTTTTCTGAGAGTAATGTTGAGAGAGTGAATGACGATTTAAGTTAATTCTCAAACACATTATTTGGTGGGTTGAGATATCACGGTATATCTGTATTCCGAAGAAAACACCGTTATATCCATGAAGATTAATTTAGAATATTCACAACTTGAATTTATATTTATATCACTGTTTTTGTCCTTCATAACAGACATCATGAGAGAGGCGATGGACGTAAAAGCAAGCATCAGGCTCGAGGCGTGTACTACAAATATCAAGAGCGGGGGGAGACAGATGCGTCTCGGCGGACCGTGCCCGGGCCAGCTGTGGGGTCGGTGGCCGCGGGGGTCACAGCGCGTGAGTGAATCGTTTCGCCACTTAGTGGTGGTGTCGTCAGGCTAGGTACACCTTGAGGCCAAGTGAAGTGTTGAAGGCGCACTGACAGGTCACGTGCCATGGGGTCGACCGATTGAGACAAGGCTGGATTATGGACCGGGCCAGTGGAGCCAGTGCCCTGGGGCCTCAGACTGCCAGGGGGCCTCCAAGCCTCAAGCCGCGCACGGTGCGTGGCCCAAGACATCTGAAGGAAGTTGAACGCAAGGGCCCTCAGTGCGCACAGCGCAAGCTGACCACTAGGCCCCTGGGTGCTTATAGCGTGAGCTCACCACTTGGGCCCCCCAGACCCCTCAGCGCTTACAATGTGAGGGCTCCCGGGCCCCTTGGTGTTTAAAATGTAAACTGACCACTAGGGCCCCTGGGGCTTAAAGCGTGACCTGACCACTAGGGCCCCTGGGGCTTAAAGCATGGTCTGGCCACTAGGGCCCCTGGGGCTTAAAGCATGACCTGACCACTAGGGCCCCTGGGGCTTAAAGCGTGACCTGACCACTAGGGCCCCTGGGGTTTAAAGCGTGACCTGACCACTAGGGCCCCTGGGGCTTAAAGTGTGACCTGACCACTAGGGACCCTGGGGCTTAAAGCGTGACCTGACCACTAGGGCCCCTGTGGTTTAAAGCGTGACCTGACCACTAGGGCCCCAGGGGCTTAAAGCGTGACCTGACCACTAGGGCCCCTGGGGCTTAAAGCGTGACCTGACCACTAGGGCCCCTGGGGCTTAAAGCGTGACCTGACCACTAGGGCCCCTGGGGCTTAAAGCGTGACCTGACCACTAGGGGCCCTAGGCCCCTCGGCACCTAGTGTGAGGGTCCCTGGGCCCCTCCGCGCTTAAAGCGTGAGTTGACCGCTAGGGCCCCCGGGCCCCGCAGAGCTTACAATGTGAGGCCCCTCGGTGCTTACAGCGTGAGTTGACCACTAGGACCCCTGGGCCCCTGGGTACTTACAGTGTGAGTTAACCAGTAGGGCCCCCAGGTCTCTCGGTGCACACATCGAGCGTAACACATGGGCCCATTGGTACATACAGTTCATGCTTAAAACGAGAGCCTCTCAGAGAGTGCAGTGCTTCTGTACAACTGAGCCACTGGTTGGCACGCTACAATACGCTGTGACATGATACAATATTCACCAACAAGTCAGTTCATTCTACATAACAGGACAATTTGAAGGGCGTCATGGCAAGCCGTTCGTTATTTGACTTACCGTAACTAGCTATCCCTTTATTTTAGCTATCTGCCCATATGATTCAGCTTGTTAACAGAAATTAGTTAGCTGCCATTTTATCCAGCTAGCTGCCCTTAAAACCAAATTGTCTGCACTGAAAAGCCAGCTGGTGAGACCGAGGGCACGTCGTTTGTTGAGAGCTTAGTTAGCCGTTGACAAATCAATGATTAAAATACACCGTGGTTTTGTGAAACACGAACAAAAATATGCCAAAATCTATCTTTTTTCATACACTAACGCATATATAAGAGACCCAATCCATACTTAAAGATTAAGGAAAACCCCATTCATTTTTTCCATAGACCGTCTGTTTTTATATCCATGAAAGTAGATAATGCTAATGTTGACATGCAAATTGTCGACAGCTCTTACGAGGTATTTTTTCCCCTCCCCATCGATGGGGTGTGGCCTATGTGCATAGTCTCCACAAAGTAATTTCACTGACTTATAAACCTGTGTGCCTATGTTTGTGTCTCTCTCTCTGTGTCTCTGTGTTATCTCTCTCTGCTTATGTGTCTGTCTGTGTGTCTCCGTGTCTGTGTTTTGTCTCTCTCTCAAATTTAGCAATCTTTGGAAGAATGTAATCAACCAGGTAGGGTGTTCACTGTTATTTTAGCCGATTCTCTGTGTTGTATTGCATTATATTTTTAAGTTTAATAGGTTTTTTTTATCTTTCATTTGTACCTGATGATGATTGCTTGTGTTGCAATCGAAACGTCATATGCTATTATTTAATTTATTATTTTCTCTTTCTACGTGACTTTATCTAAAGAACCAAAGAATTAAAAAAAGATGTTTTGAATTTCAAGCAACATAATTATCTCTGTGTCAGGCAGGTATATAAGACATTTCTTGGAAGGAAAAGCCACAGACAGATGCCTGTTTTCTTGCTTGGTGTACGCCACAGTCATATAATCAGAGACTTTTTTCATCTTTTTCTAAAACAGCCTTTTTAAAGGCTATTTCAACAATCCCTCCTAAGGGCTATTCCCTAACAGCCTTTTTAAAGGGTTAGGGTTATTTTCTTTTACGTGCTTTTCGATTTTTTTTTATTTTATCTACTGAAAGCTGCCTTTAGGTACAAGTAGACTATACAATACTACCACTTGATTGTATTTTACAACAACAGTATTTGAAGGGTGTTGTCATTATTAATATATATTAATTCAATTATTTATAAGTATTGAGATATGCTATAAATATAATCATATAAATAGCATACTAGTTCTGAATAATTAACCACAAACATTGCAATAGTGGTGCATCCAAAAGGAAAGACAAAAAAGAAAAGGGAACAAGAGAGGAAGTTTTGCTTCAAAGTATTCCACTCATTGCCTACTTCTTTCAAAAGCCCTCTGATAGTAACAGTGACGACAGCAGCAGCACTCTTGTCAGCTGTGAGGAAGGAGCCAGCACTAGTTCAGTTTCCAGTAATGTTGTCACTCCCCCAGAGCCATCCTTTGAAGGCGAACCCTCAACGGCTAATGGAATACAAGAACCATCATTTACCACCTCAGGAGCAGTTGGGCAGTTCACAAGAATCAAATCAGCAACCAAGCCATTCCTGGTGCTATGAGGTCACTGACCCTGCATTATAGCAAAGCACTTCCAGTGACATTGTTAAGTCAGTGCTTTTTGAAAGAGGAGCAGTCCCACTTCCAAAACCGCAGTGCAAAATACCCAGCTTCAGTCCTAGATAGAGCGCTTGGTGGAAAGACTAGAAGTTTCAACAATTAACTTTTGAACTGTATATTACCAAATGGGCAGAAGGTTTCTAGATAGCGGCTACTGTACTCACCCTCAACAGATTGTGTACTGTTTTGCATGAAAACTATTCTCCAGCAAGCTCAATTGCTTTAGTCAGGGGTTTAGTGACCGGAAGCACTCTGAAAGGATAGGGGAACACGAAAAAAGAGTGCAGAACACAGATCATGCATGCTTGCCTTGCACCAGCGGACAAAGGGCAGTGCTATACATGCAGATCTCATGCAGCAACTTGATGGGGAACATAAAAACTGGAGGGACATTTTGAAGAGTTGTATCGGTGATGAAGTTCTTGGGTGAAAAAGAACTTGTGTTTAGGGGAGATGAACGGTTTGGGTCAACCCATAACAGTAATTTCCTTGGCATCCTAGAATTGTTATCACAATTTGACCCATTTTTAGCTGAACATATTAAAAAGTTTGTCGGAAAAGGAAGAGGCACAGTGTCCTATTTGTTATCAACAATGTGAAGAATACATTGAGCTAATGGGTCAGAAAACTTTCCAAACAATAGAAGATGAGATTCGTCGATGCCAAATATTTTTCAACTAGCCTTTTGCCCGTCCAAGGACGGGTGTATTGCAGTAAATCTGAAACTTGCAAGCGATAAGCAGACCACGACGTGATATATGCATTGCATTCATTTGTGTGCAATTTGTAAGGCTGCGGTGACACAGACTTATTTCATTTAAAGGTTATAATCCCTTGTTCATCATGCCGTCCTTTTTACTTCGATGTCTCAACAGCGTTACGGAGATCACGTGACGTGAGGGTTATAAGTTGACGCCGAGGAGGGGGGAGGAGGCGCCTCGCCCCCCCATGTGGAGTGATATCACCCGCTAATTATTATTAATGGCGGGGGGGTGTCCATGTGGAAGACAAAACCTGTTCATGACTATTAATGAGGGGGGCTGGTCGACGTGAAGTGACGTCACACGCGGGACACACAGACATTCTTGGCTCATAGTAGTAAATCATTGTTGACTCCAACCCAGACCTGTCACATGTGGACCAATTGACGTTCATATTCCGGTTTGTTAACAGCAGGGGGAATGTGGTGGAGCGATTCCTGAGCTTTGAGCCAATTGAGAGCCACACTGGTAAAAGTTTAACAGACTTTGTGACTTTGATGGTGGAGGACCTTGGGTTGGACCCCTCAAACTGTAGAGGTCAGTCATATGACAATGCAAGCAGCATGTCAGGAAAATACAATGGGCTACAGGCCCACCTAAAAAAAACCCTTCTGATAGAGTATGTGCCTTGCACAGCGCATTCACTTAACTGAGTTGGTGTTAACACCTTAGACGGCAGTAGCCCAGAGGCTGAGTTATTTTAACAGGTTGCAGTCACTGTACACATTTTGCTCTTCATCCACAGACATATGGGGGA